GGATTGCTAGTTGCTTGGTTTTAAATTGTCATATTTCCTTACTATTTATCACTTCCGCTTTGCGCACAAGGCTACGTCACGCTCACGTGATGGCCAACATGTTTCGACTCCGGTCGGGGTGTGTCACTTCAGTTTGCTAGCAATGGCATATTCCTGTTTAAGTTGGAATTGTCATGATGATGATCTGGAAGTGGGTGATAGGATATGGCATGTGGTGCATGGAAATTTGAAGTTAACAATAACTCCAAATACAAGCCTTATTAAGTGACTAGTGTATCTAGTTTGAATAGAAGGAAAGTACAATTGCCAATCTTTCCCAGATATCAAGATGATGGCAAGGGATTTTGTGATAATTATCTCAGGAAAAGTGTTCTGCTTTCGACTAGAACTACACGGTTTAGCTACTAAGCACACAATCACTATAAATGCAAGAGGTCGTGCAACATGAAAAGCTCTCTCCAACTCAACACACAAACTGCCATGCGTAAACTCTCGCTCTACGCGAAACCTCTCAACAACCTTGATATTTTTTATTTTCTTTGTCTGCCAACACATCTTCAGTTTGGATAAACAGCACTGTGAATGCAACTGGTGACATCTTTAGTTTGGATAAACAACATTGTTGTCGTAGAATCAGCCGATCGCGGAGCACCTTCAGTTTGGATAAACAGCACTGCATCGAGGCTAACTGGTTATCTATCTAAGTCTCGATCGACAAGGATTTTCGAGTCCTTATTGGTAGAGCTCATCTCATCAGCATTTTCGGCGAAGCAGCAAAGTGAGGTGTTACAGGTTACTACGTTCGGCACATTGAAAGCCGAATTTGATATTGACTTTTGCAGAACTAGCAACCTTGTCTTCAGGCTCTAGAACCCGAAGGCCGAGACGTGTTGCTTCCTCGGCCGCAGTTGCAAGATCAAGAAGTCAGCAACGCGCTCAACGCAACATCAACACATTCTACTCCCCTGCCAAGCTAGACTGATGAGTTAGCACGCCCCGCACATAACCGAAGAACGTAGTTAGCTTATTGATTACTTGGCCTGCACGCCACATAGGCTTAGTAGTTTTTAGGGTCAACATAATGGAATGAGTCTGAATCCTCGCTAGATCCTCTTTGTTAGAATTCTGGGAATCCGCGAATCGTGTCCGTTTATCGTATATCGTGCGGTCAAAAATCATTTTAAATATTTTTATTTAAAAATAAACATAACCAATACTTGATAAAAACTGACCGCACGATGTACGATGAACGAACACGATTCACGGATCCCTAGGATCCTCACCAAAAGTATTGGGAGATGATCTTGTTGGGAATGGAATGATGAAGAACAAGAATTAGTTGAATAAAGAATGAGGAAAACTAATGAAAAGAGCTTGAAAATCCTTAGTTTTAATAATAAAGATAAAATAAATGGTAAAATAAATAGTACCAAAATTGATTTTTTACTATAAAAATATGAATTTTTTTGTGAAAATAAATAGTACCTGAAATTTTTCGTTAAACTTCCTTAAAAATGTGCTTAGATTACTCACTACTTGGCAAACTTTATCAGGAACTTCTCTCTTCCACGCCGAAAGTAGCAAGATGTACCCCATAAGTCAAGTTTTAAGCAAATATAATATGCATGTTATAGTCTTGATAAGTGGTTTTGTGGATTACGACACTATAAAAAAAAGAAAAGAAAAGGAGACCACTCCAAGCTAATAAAGTTAAAGTAAGAAAAAGTTCAAGCAAAACCCAATTTGTTCAAATGATGCATTTAGAAAGAGAACATTAACCTTTTGTTGTTCACTGTGTTGTAGGATTTTCGATTTTTTTTAAGTATTCAATGATACATAGTACTAATAAATATTTGAGCATTAAATTTAATCTATTGGTTTAAACTGAATAATCGAGGACCATTAAATCAAGTTTAATATCTTTGAGAAAATCATTTCGAACCCTCTCTTGCTCGAAATGATTTGGGTCGGTATTATGTAACTTGGTTTGACAAGTAATGCCTAAATTGGTTTCCGAACAGAAAGCGTGGGTTTCATAGGACAATCTCTGCAGGCCCATTTTAATGGTAATAATTTTAGTGATATATAGTTTGATTCTTTATAGAAAATCCCCAGAAGAGCGGATGGGTGGCTTTAGGAAGATATGCATGACATCCACATATATTCTCTCAACCAAATGAATCCTCATATATTCTCTCAACCAAATGAATTTGGCTCTTAGCCTGTACCTCAAAATTCAAGCACGTAACCCTCAAAGATTGCAAACTCTAATTTTTTTCCCTACCACAATGATGAAATTTTCTACGGTGCTCCAGAATATCTTATATCAAGAATCGGTTGTTTTTAAACATTAATTTGAGGTTGTGATATTTACACACCATTAACTACTTTTCCCACACCCTTTTTATTTTTTAATACTTAATTGGTATCCTACTATTTAATCTTCCATATACACCTCTTCCTACTTTTTGACTTTTGAAAGTTGTTTTTTATTTTTTATTTTTACACTTAGAAAGAATCAACACTCAAGGTAAACTCCCAGACTTCTCCCCTTCCTCTGTGCCTCCGTTCCCCCGTCCTCTTTACTTCCATTCATATCTTCTAGGAAAAGCCAATCTATTACCCTTCTTTATTACTTCTTGTGAAAAACCACAATGGATGACCTGATAATAATAGATGAGAGCTCCAGATGGTGTTGGAAATTTGAATAGTTTGAGTAGAAATTTCTTTGTCCCACATTGATCATTCTCAAAAGATTTCATCACTTTATAAGGCTTTATCCTTTATAGAAAGTAATTAGAGTAATAGGCATTGGAGAATACAATTGGGCTCACCCTTGAGGTTGGGCTTTGGGGTGCACTAATTAATTGATAATTAATAAAGATGGGCATTGGGCTTTGAAAATTAATTTCGATTTTAATTTAATTATTTTTTTGAACAGACTCATCTTTTCAGATGAAGTCTGAAGTCAATGTAAAACGCAGAGAGCACAGCACCTCATCTGAAGAGATGTCTCCCAACAGTCACATCTCATTCTCATACCTGTTGCGAACAGGTATAATCTCACTATATATAGATCCATCTACATGGCATTTAGGACACAGAAAACATAAATCTCCTCTATAATCCATAGCATTCTTATTGAGAGTACCACAAAGAAATTCGCCAGAAGTTAAGTTTTCCGGTGCTGAAATTCTAACTTGATCGTTGAATCCTGATGAAACAGACATCCGGAGAACTACAAGCACTGAGTAGGGGCGAAATTTCTGTTTCAAGGATATTGCGGTACGCAAGCCTCGATCTTCAATATTTCTGTTTAATATTAGTTCATTGTTCATACACTGTTTATTTATTAGCATATATAAATTTATCACAGATTGTTGACATATATCCAACAGATGGACATTGAGTTGCAGAACATATTGGATATGGCATGTAAGGAGAATGGCATGGAAGAAATTTTAGTATGCATTCCTCCTCTTAACACTTTTGATGGTAAGTTTCTAAAGTATTTTCTCAAATTATTAAGATTGATTTTGGAATTTAGGGTTTTTGTTCTCTTCTTGCGTTAGGTTTTTATCTCAAGACGACAAGAAGAGAACAAAAACCTAATTGCGTTAGGGTTTTTGTTCTCTTCTTGCATTCTAAAACTTCTTGCGTTAGTTTCTAAAGTTCATGGTCATTCAAAAGTTCATGGTTATGCAATAGACTTTTTATCTCTGGCTTCCAAAATTCTTCACGTTTCTTTTTACGCCCCTTGACTTCAAATGGACAATTTATGAGTCAATATCCTGAGTTTCGTTTTCCTTCATCTAGTGAAGTTTTAGAGGGTCGATAAAATGTCCATTTGAAGCCAGGGGGCGTAAAAAGAAACATGAAGAATTTTGGAAGCTAGAGATAAAAAGTTTATTGCATAACCATGAACTTTCGAATGACATGTGTGGACATCATTCTTGTCATCTTGAAATCAAAACCTAACGCAAGAAGAGAACAAAAACCCTAAATTCCAAAATCAATCTTAACAATTTGAGAAAATACTTTAGAAACTTACCATCAAAAGTGTTAAGAAGAGGAATGCATTCTGAAATTTCATCCATGCCATCCTCCTTGCATGCCATATCCAATATGTTCTACAACTCAATGTCCATCTGGAGCTCTTCATCTGTTATTATTAGGTCATCCATTGTGGTTTTCACAAGTAATAAAGAAGGTTAATGGATTGGCTTTTCATGGAAGGTATGAATGGAAGCAAAGAGGACAGGGGAACAGAGGCACAGAGGAAGGGGAGAAGTCTGGGAGTTTATCTTGAGTGTTGATTTGTTGTAAGTGTAAAAATAAAAAACATAAAAAAATAAAAATTCAAAAGTCAAAAAGTAGGAAGGGTATATATGGAAGATTAAATAGTATGATACCAATTAAGTACTAAAAAAATAAAAGAAATATGGGAAAAAGTAGTTAAGGGTGTGAATATCACAACCCTTAATTTGTTTAACATAAGATACTCAGGAGCATAAAAAAAACTTTTGCCGTAATAATTCATAACACCCAAAAGATAAAAGTAGAAGCAAATCTTTGGCACGCCAATTTCTTTCATTCTTACTTACTTTTCTTGTGAAAAGAGTGTAGTGAAATGGTTTTTTGACGTACCTATAGTACAATTAATTTTGATGAGAGGAACTTTGTGTATATACGCTCGTTGTATGGAAGAACTTTACATCAATTACTTGCGCTCGAAGCTTTTCGGAAACTCACCTTTGCTTTACCTTTTCTAGTGTTTGAATGCAATAATTGAACTAGAGAAGAAACCGAAACAAGACAGAAAAAGGAAGATATTAAAGTGGAATGGGATGGAAAGAAGGAAGGAAAGAAAGAAAGAAAGAAAGAAGAAACATGGGATGATGGGATGTTGGGGTCTATCTCTGTTTTGGAATCCACTCACGCACACGCACAATTCCACAAACGTACATTTTTATTGACTACCTAAAATTCCAAACAAAGAAGAAACCTTTGTTATATTATATAATCATTATTCACACACCTCTCCTCTACACTTCACAAAAACTTGAGAGAAAACACAAGCTTGTAACCATGAACTTGTTCTCCACCAGAGAAATGCCTTCTCCGTCGTCGTTGTTCTCTGCCTACGCCTCCATGGCAGCGTCAATCATGCTCTTCCGGTCCATGGCGAACGAGCTCATTCCTCAACCAGTTAGGGGCTACGTTTTATCTGCCATCAAATACGTCTTCAAGACTCATTCTCCTAAACTCACCCTAGTCATAGAGGAATCGAGCGGAATGTCGCGCAATCAAGTCTACGAAGCTGCGGAGGTTTATTTGTGCACGAAAATCAGCTCCAACACTGAGAGGATCAGAGTTAGCAAGAGCCCCAAGGGGAAGAACTTGACAATCAGACTCGAGAAAGGCGAGAAGTTGGTCGATTTCTATGAAGGGATTGAGCTCAAATGGAAGTTTCTTTGTACGGATTCCAAACAGAACAACCCTAATGATCCATCTCCGAGGTCCGAAAAGCGCTACTTTGAGCTAACATTCCACATGATGCACAAAGAAAAAGTATTGGGATGTTATTTGCCTTATGTTCTTGAAAGGGCCGACGCAATGAAAGATGAAGAAAGGGTATTGAAGATGTATACATTGAATGCCAACTATCCTTACAATGGCATCAAATGGGAGTCCATCAATCTCGAACACCCTGCAACGTTCGAGACTCTGGCCATGGACCAAGAGCTCAAAAATGCGGTTATCGATGATCTTAACAGGTTTGTGAAGAGGAAGGAGTTCTACAAGAAAGTAGGAAGGGCGTGGAAACGAGGGTATTTGTTGTATGGTCCTCCGGGCACTGGAAAATCGAGCTTGGTAGCAGCAATGGCTAATTATCTCAAGTTTGATGTCTATGACCTGCAGCTGGCTAACGTTCTTCGTGACTCGGACCTGAGAAAACTGCTGCTGGGCACCGCGAACAGGTCGATTCTTGTGATCGAGGACATTGATTGTACCGTTGATCTGCCTGATCGTCGACATACAGATGGAAAAAAGCAACACGATGTACAGGTGTGTCATCTTTTCCTTATATAAATTTGTTGAGTTTAATGCTTTGAACTGATCTTTGTGATTTGGTGAATCTTGGTTATATTAGCATCCGATTGGTTGTATTAGCATCTTACAACTAGCTCAGCACTAAGCATTTCACAAAACCTAAAAGATAGATACTTTCACAATCAACCAACCCCACCTCACTGTCTTTCTTCACTGCTGTTTCGTTTTTTATTCGAAGGGGGAAGCACTAGCACCCTCAAGAGTTTGGTAGGAAGTTGCTTTCTTTCTATTTCCCTTCAAGATTGTTGTTTTCAAATTGGATTAGAAAGAAAATCGCTTGTTTTTACTCCGAAAATTTTACACTGCACCAGTGGATGTATTAGGGCATCAGATGGTTAGATTCTAGTACGGGCTGTACCGAAATGGTGGAAAGCAATCATGTCTACGCATTCTAGTGCGGGTTCGATTCTCACCAATCCCCCTTCTCCTAGCAACTAACAATTTTACCCACTTAAACTATTGGTTGTCCCATTAAAAATAAATATAAATAAAAAATAAAAAATAAAAACTATAAAAAGGCCCCTTTTTTCTCCAGCTTTAACCCCGGAAAATGCACTCTCAGTACAAAAGAATTTTAACTCTATCGTCTTTGGCTTCCTGCAGTTGACACTCTCTGGACTACTAAACTTCATAGATGGCTTATGGTCTAGCTGTGGGGATGAGAGGATCATAATCTTTACCACTAACCACAAGGACAGGCTAGACCCCGCCCTTCTGCGGCCGGGGCGCATGGACATGCACATTCACATGTCCTACTGCACATACCACGGATTCAAACTCTTGGCCTCGAACTACTTGGACATCCATAACCACCATCACCTCTACGGAGAAATCCAAGACTTACTCAAGGAAACGGAGGTGACTCCAGCGCACGTTGCGGAAGAGCTGATGAAGAGTGAAGATGTTGATACTGCACTCGAAGGGCTTGTTAAGCTTTTAAAGAGGAAGAAATTGGAAGGCGATGAATGTGAGGCGGAGGCTGAGAAGAAGACTGCAGCAAAAAGGCAGAAAACTGGGAACCAACAGAAGAAATCTGTGAGGAATAACAGAAGAATCGCCACAAAAAGAAGCAGCAAACGTTTGTCCGCTAGAAATCCCAATTTGTATTAAACTAATCATCTGTTTAGATTGAGATTATCTCTTTCTAGATGTTGGGGCTTGGTATCACTACTACTTTAAAATAAATGAGTACCTTCATTGAAATATTAGTCGAAAAATATTTTCTTTAGCTCTGTTTTGATGCCTTATGCTGCTAAAACAATAGCTATAATCAAGAAAAAACGGGTATTAGCCTACGAGTGGAGTGCTTGTAGGCTGTCGCCGCGAATAAGTTCAAAAACTAAACTCTGTTGCTTTCAAGATTAACTTTCTACTTCCCTGAACAAGTCCAAAACAGAACAATCTTAAAAAAGGTTAGTATGTTTGCATCCACTCTACATATCAAGTTGCCAGATCGCCACGATACAGAATCTGCCACTCTAGGTGGAGAAGAAGGGTTCTTTTCCTGTATTTTGGATATCTGGAATTTTCGGAAGATCTAGGGTACACTGCTACCTCGGCATGGATGACAAAAATAAACTCTGTAAGGAAGAGCAAGAAGGTGAAAGTATATCCTTTCTTGCGGACAGTCTCAATTAGTTCTTGTGTTTGATGTTATATCCTTTCTTGCGGACAGTCTCAATTAGTTCTTGTGTTTGATGTGTCAGTATAAATACTTCATCAACGATCTTCTAGCATCGTACATACCATTATCTTATAAAATTAGAGGACAAGGAAAACAGACACTGGAAAGAGAGTATACATAAAAATTAATCAGAACTAGATAAACCTCCATCGCATAGCAGACTAAAACACACAAAATCGAGAATTTACTTAGTCTGGCCGTAAAGTTTCCCGTTACTGATGACGTGGCGCTCATGTAGACAATGACTGGGCAGCACATGTTATTAAAAAAATTTAAATATTAAAACAATTAATTAAAAAAAAAGTAAAAAAACAAAAAACCAGAACCCACTTCTTATTCCCTACCCTCCACCCTCCATCCCCTCCACCCCCTTCGTCTTATCCACCCGAGCACCAGACGGATGCTAGAGAAGAAGATTCCAGAGATTCGGTTGCACATCGAACAGAAAGAGGATCTGAGAATCTAAGAATCAAGCAGCAGCACACCAAAGTTGGCGATCGGTCAAGCTTCATCGGCGAGGCAACAAGAAGAGGATATGAGAATCAAGCAGCTGCAAGCGGAAGAGCAGAGCCGCCTCAGCCTCAAAGACTGTGTACGCTTTGGAGAAAGATGACGATGACGGACTTGGCGGCAGTGAGGTTGGAAATGGGGGATGAGAGAAGGGGTGGCTCGGGTGGGCAAGATGTGGGTGCTAGGGGATGGGAGAACGGGTTGCTCGGGTGGAGAAGACGAAGGGGGTGGAGGGGATGGAGGGGAGAAGGGGTGGAGGGGATGGAGGGTGTCGGGTTGGGAAGAAGAAGTGGGTTCTGGGTTTTTTTTATTATTTTTTATTATTTTTATTTAGAGCTCCGGACTGTTTCAGTCTCTCTCCCTCTCTCTACTCCGCATTGCGTGTGAGCAAATCGTTTTTCAAATTCTCCCTTTCTTCGATTCGATCATTAAATGTGCTCTGTTGCAATCGTCATCGACTTTCTATCTCAGTGGAATCTCTGCTCTTTGCTCTTCCAAGCTCAGTTTGGTAAGTGATTTAGGGTTTTCCTTTGACTAGAGTTGAATTTTTTGTTTTGTAATGATCCCAATATTTTTTTATTGAATCCAGTGATTGAAGCTTTTCTGTCTCAGATTTGAAGTTCTTTGCGAGTCGGGTGTCGGGTGGGGAAGAAGAAGTGGGTTCTGGGTTTTTTTTTTTAATTAATTATTTTAGTATTTTAAATTTTTTTTAATGACACGTAGTGCTCAATCATTTTTCACATGGATGCCACGTCATCTGTTAGCGGGAGACTTAACAGCCAGATCAACGGATGTATGAGACAGTCCCAAAATTAATACTTTAGGTATGATTCTGAGATGAAAAAAACTTTATGTAATAAATGTTGAAAACCATGAAACTATAGGGTAGTAAACTGAGATTTACCCAAAAAAAAAAACTCAAACTGTTATAAATAGGCAAAAGTTAGAGAGATAACCTTTGTCAGGAACATGAGAGAAGCGGATGCAAACTATCACATTATTTAGTTTTGTAACTATAACACAAAAGAATTGCAGGTAAAAAGAGGAAGTGAGGGATACTGATATTATTGCTTTTAGTTATTTTGTTTCATAGTGTGTACTAATCACACACAGAGTACTCTATTTATATAGCCACATTCGTAACAAACAAAAGTGGGAAATATTGCTCTTTTTGAAAACACCACACCACCACTATTAATCTAATATTCTCAAGTCTCACTTATTATGGGCATTCATTCATCCTCACAATTTTACAACACTCCCCTTTGGATGCCCATATATCAACATCAGTTGCCTCATTAAAACCTTGCTCGGAAAAACCAAGTGGGAAAAAAACCATAGCGAAGGAAAAAGAGTACAACTTTACTTGGATTGTTGATATAATGTTAAGCATGCTTATGTTACCTTGTTAAAATTACTTTAATAGGAAAAACCCACGGGGTTTACACTAGGAGGAGTTTAGACTACTGGTCCAAAAATACTTCGCCGTTCCAAGGAATTAAATTCTGCTTGGATTGCATCTTTCCACTTAGGCCAATCTTGTTTCTGTTTGCATTCGACAGAGCAGGGCTCAATATCATTGCTTAATATGATTTCAATGGCTACTATGAATGCGAACATGTCATCAATGCTTATTTCATTTCGATCCCACAATTCTTAGTGCATGCATAATTTATGGCGATTTCTTTGCTTTCATGTACTTCTGTCTCTTCAGGGGTATGTGTCTCATCAATGACATTTTCTTTTCTGAAAGTACAGAATCATGAATTGTGGATTTGTCATTCATTTTCTCTTCCTGAATGATTTCATTTGGATTCAGTTGTGCCCCGTCTTTCTCTTTCAAGGGGCTGAATCTTTTGAACCTGGGGGTTTACCATGCTTTAGGCGTGCACCAGATGAATCATTCGCTGCCACTTTATTTTGTCCAACAGGGACATCAATTCTTGCAAACTCATTTCCAGCTGGTATATGTGAATTTGTCACTTTTGTGGCATCATTAAATGCATCTGGCATTTGATTAGCAATACTTTTAAGATGAACAATCATTTTCACTTCATTTTCACATTGAATGCTTCATGGATCAAAATGAGATAAGGTGGATACAACCCATGTTAGCTCTTGCCGTTCTTCTGGAACGGTTTTTTCTCCTCCTAATGATGGGAAGACTGTCCCATCAAAGTGACAATTCGCAAAACAAGCTGTAAACATATCACTTGTCAAGGGTTCTAAATATCTATAGATAGTTAATCAAAACCCATATAAATTCCCAGTTTGCATTGAGGTCCCATTTTAGTGCGTTGTGGCGGTGCAATAGGCACCTAAACAGCACAACCAAAAACTCGTAAATGTGAAATGTTTGGCTGATGCCCAAACACGAGTTGTACTGAGGAGTATTGGTGGTTGGCTATAGATCTCAATCGAACCAATGATGCAGCATGTAAGATGGCATGTCGCTATGCAAAGACTGACAATTTTGTTTTCATGAGTAGAGTGCGAGCTATTAATTGGAGCAGCTTGATAAACGCTTCTGCTAGACCATTTTGAGTATGGACATGAGAAACAGGGTGTTCAACATCAATGCCTAGTGTCATGCAGTAATCATCAAAGGTTTGAGACGGAAATTCACCAACGTTATCAAGTCGGATTGACTTAATGGGGTAATATGGGAACTATGCTTGCAACTTAATTATCTGAGCAAGAAGTCTCGCATAAGCTACATTTCGAGTAGAAAAGAGGCAAACATGTGACCATCAAGTAAATGCATCAACAAAAACCATAAAATATCAAAATGGTCCACAAGGTGGTTGAATAGGCCCACAAATATCCCCTTGAATTCTTTGCAAAAATGATGGGGATGCAACATCAATCTTTAGTTGTGATGGTCTAATTACCAACTTCCCTTGAGAACAAGCCTTGCGAGGGTTATCATTTGAGATAGTAATGTGTTTGCTCAATAATGGATGTTCATTAGAGTTAGTGATGATTCTATGCATCATGGTGGATCCTGGATGACCCAGATGGTTATGTTAAAGCATGTAAACTTTTGGTTCATGACAGTATATGCTTCAATTGTCTATGTATGTATAATACAATTCATTCGATAAACCATGTAACTTCTCCAATATACGTTTCTGGGTATCATTAGAGGTAATGCAATATTCTGCATTTTCTGCATTTTTCATTTCAATGTGGTGTCCATTTAAACGTATGTCTTTAAAACTCAACAAATTTTGAGTAGATCGAGTAGCGTCAACACATTTTGTATGGACAATATTGTTCCATTTGGTAACATGATTTGGGTTTTGCCTGAGCCTTCAATTATATCTGATTGGCCTGATATTGTCGTTACCTTTACTTTTGTAATCATCAAGCTTCATAAATATTTTCGATCTCGAAGTATTATATGCGTGGTTACGCTGTCTACAAAACAAATATCTCCGTCATTGCTCTTGTTTTAAGAATAACCATAGTTTTTATCCATGCTCTCTGAGTAAGGGAATCATAGTTAAAAACAGTTTATTCATAATAAAATGAAATTTAAATGCTAATTTTATTGAATTAAAATGCAAGCGTTAGACTACAAGTTCAGAGTAATAAGAGTACATCAAACAAAAATGATTTTATCGAACCGATATACTTCATTCCCTCTTTACACAATGAAGTCTGAGACATCTAGGTGGGTTGTGTTCAATTGCCCTGATAAATCGAACACTGGATCAGGTATATCCATTAGTTTAGCGTGGTCGAGGAAATTGGTTTCTACACCTTTCTCCTTGAGGGAGACTTGATATAGGTCCACCAGATGTTTTGGGGTATGACATGTACGCACCTAGTGTCCATTGCCACCATACATATGGCAAACTCCATCAGGATTTCTATGAGCGTTATTCATATGAGCTTTACCCTTGTGGCGATTTGCATTCTTGAACCTCATGCCTGAATTATGCCTTGGAACCTAGTTGTGAAACTGGACACCATTATTCTTGCCTTTCCTGTTCTACCAGTCTCACTTGTGACCACTTCCTCATTTGTAA